AAAAAATATTATCAGGAACAGAAGTGTTGCCTGGAAATATATAAAAGGTTTGTCCTGTGGAGGAAGGATGAGATTTAATTATAAACTACCCCAAGGTTTGGAACCAGAGCTGATAGATACACACTACGGGGAAATACATTTTTACATCAATGTAGGCAAGCATTGATAGTACTGTCTGGAGATAAGATGAATTTCCTGAAAAGGTAATAAGCTCCCCCTTCACCAATGGAAGTGTTTAATCATGAGATACATGTCAACAAACAACTTTACTGTAGAGAAATTTGAGACATCAGATGCACACTTGTTCCCTTCAGTCCATTCATTGATTATATGACTTCGAGTCTTAAACAATTAAGAAAGAAATGGATAACAAAAATAGAGGCAGTGTAGAATAATTTCCAGGAAAAGGATTAGAAGGAATAGACAGGTTTTTAAAGGAAATCTGGGTGTTTGAGATTGAAAAGAAATGATCCAGTGGAGAGAAAAAGCAGGCGGTAGTTTGGGAACTAGTCTCTGTGGGACGGGAGCTACGAATTTAGGGAAGAAGCACATTTCACAAACTGACGTGTTTGTGAGGATGGCTGAGCCTGAAAGTTTACTGATTTTCCTTCTCTCCCAATTAACCATAATTTTTCCTCATTAATTAGGAAATTAAGTATTTGACAGAGGGGAGTAAGGGTGGGCAGAGAATTAACGATGGAGGGAAATAAAAAACAGCCCCCATTGCTTGGTACTGCTGCTTCAACAGCCCAGTCTTTCACAGTCATGCTAATTTCTTTAGTGTAACTTTGAGCACAATTTGGTCTTGCTTCTTGTGTTGTTCCTTTTATATCAGCTGAGTTCTTCTGCTATCATAATTCAAGTATTTGTCCCTTCTGAAGTTCTTCCCTAAAGAACTGAGTTGTAGGTTCTAATCTACTGATCTGATTGTCATGTTTAAGTGAAGTGATCTTTCCAAAATGAAAGACATAACTAAAATTGTTTTGGGAATTCAAGTTGGATGCAAAACAAAAGTAAAATTTTCTAATCAAACCTTGGTTCAGAGACTGCACATGTTGTAGATACCTGTGGTAATCAGTCATCAGAAAAACAGATCTGTGAACCTAAAGAGAAAGCATTTTATGCACAATTCTATAGTGTTTCTTAAAACAAAGGGTCTTGAACTTTATCATGGATAAAAATCACCTGAGACATTGTTAAAAC